CCAAAAAAGATGCTTGTAAGTGAGATGGCGGACCACGCCATTGTAAACACTTTTAGAAACGTGTAAAAGCTTTTAGCATCCCGGCTTTTCCACAGTATGTATGGGCACCATGTCTTTTGCAATATACATCGCGACAGCGTCTGTTATCGCCTTCCACTGTGCCCCATTCTTATCATATGGCACACAGTTCGAAAACGTGTCAGGGACGGTTGCATGCTTAACTTTGGATGTTATGCTGGTGCTGCGGGTATTTTCATTTCGCTGGGAGCTGCACTTCTCCCACTCCGCTATGTGCCTCTGCTTTAGGTGCTGGAATAAATTTGTCGTGCTGCTTCCTTTGGTTGCAACAGTTTTTAAACAGACTTTGCAACGAGGACTTGTTTGGTCTGTGTCCGACGGCCCAAAACCGAACCACTGCCGTGTTTGTGAATCCGCTACAGTGTTTGGGTGCGCCGCGCTAATGTACCTGTGAAGAACGGTGTGTCGCATTAGTTCCGCTTTTGGCGCTCGCGTGTAAAATAAGTAATAAAATCGATTTTCATAAAAACACATCGTCCTGAACTGTAAATTCGAATTAATCGGTAAAATCGATTTATCGCCCACCTCTAGGTTTTGGTGTTGACGGTTTTGGTGTTGACGTTGGTGTAGGTGTTGACGGTTTTGGTGTTGACGTTGGTGTAGGTGTTGACGTTGCTATTGGGATTGATGTTGAAGTTGGCTGTTGTCCTGCTGTGAGCTCTGCCCTGTGGCAGCGTTTGATGACAGTTGTCAGATCTTCTCACCCCTTCCTCTTCTCTCCTCTCTGTTCTCCTGTCATCCCTCTTACAGGCTGTGCATTCGTCACGTTCTCTAGCCGGACCATGGCGCAGAACGCGATCAAAGCCATGCATCAGTCGCAGACTATGGAGGTACAGTATTCCCCCCCCCGTTCTCTGCGTACTGTCCCATTCTCCCTGCCCTCTCTAAATCAGGACGGACCGTGGTAATGGGACCCGCGTCGTGCTGCCCCAGAGGGCCACTGAAGACAGAGCCAAGGTTATAGCTCCTGTGTTCAGCTTCTTTATGGAGAATGAGAACAAGCCTCATCATAAGAACCACCCGCTGTCCTCTGAGATGCTGAAACATCATGTTTTATTAGGAGTAGCGCTACATAGGAGAAGCGGTGGAAGGTTCCGGTCAGGGAGTGCCGGTTTGTGTGTCCGGCAGCGCACACAGCGAGCTCCCAGGTTGACCCGGAGAACATGCCTGTTATTGGGGGCATCTGGTCTGCTGTAAACAGGCTGTACCCGTCTGTGGGTCCTTGAGGAAGGCCCTTGGGTTCCCCCCCCCCCCCCCCCCCTGAAGGCCTGGGAGTTCACTTGTTTTTTCTCCTTTACTGTATAGACAGTAGTTATTGTGGAGAAAGTGAGCCTGTCTGACTCAGCGTGTAATCATCAGTTTTTTTACTTTGTTTTTTGTTCTGTTCAGTAAATGTTCTTGGCTGAGGGAGGGGTACAGGAGCAGATTAGGACTGTTTACTAGGTTCAATCCAGCAGTATCTCTCGGTCAGCTTCCTTCTGCCTGAGGGAGCAGCTCTGTGTCTAACCTGGTAGTGGGTCAGTTGCCCAGTGTTTTAATTAAGCTCTGCCGCTCCGAGGGCTTGCAGCAGCTCTAAGGCCGGATTGGGGCTATTTCGGCTCGACCCGTCAGAAATCTTCCGCACGTTGCTGTCGCTGCCCTAAAGAGGGCGCTCCGGGGACTTTAAAGCCAACCCTGGTACAGCGATTCTCAGGCAGGTGTCTTGAAGGGTGATGGTAGATGTTAGAAATGGCCCCTTAAAAAATAAATGAACACTGACTACAGATATCCCAGATATGTGTGAAGTGTTTACATTCCTGGTCATTATGCTGGTCCCTCCCCTCAGTGCTTGTGTGAGGGACAGTGATGTCTCGCTCTGCTCACTGACACCAATCAGCTGGCTTGTGTCAGTCTGACCCCTGTCCCGTCCTTGCCCCCCCCCACAGGGCTGCTCCTCCCCCATTGTGGTCAAGTTCGCTGACACGCAGAAGGACAAAGAGCAGCGGCGGCTGCAACAGCAGCTTGCCCAGCAGATGCAGCAGCTCAACAGCGCCTCCACCTGGGGGAACCTGACAGGCCTGGGCAGCCTCACTCCACAGTATCTGGCAGTAAGTGACCCCCCCCCCCCATTTTCGAGTCAGGTCTCTGTAATGAAAATGACATGCAAACGCCCCCTAGCTGCACATCTATGTGCTGCAACCACTGAAATACATTTAGAGGAAGTGAAGCCAGGGGGAGTGCACTGCCCCCCCCCCTCCCTGACACTCTGTGCTCCCCCCTTGCAGCTGCTGCAGCAGGCCACCTCATCCAGCAACCTGGGCGCCTTCAGTGGCATCCAACAGATGGCAGGTAAGTGTCACACCCGAACTACGCCCCGCCACAGGGTCTCCACCTCCATGCCTGTGACCTTTTAACCCCCTGACCTCTGACCTCCAGCTTAGCCCCACCCTGCATCCTCCGTCATTCCTTAAAGCTTCCCAGTAACAGATGGCTCTTCAGGCGGCGCCAACAGCCGTGCATCAGGCTGGGTGTTAGCTTTGTGCCCCCTCCCCCCAGCCGGGCATACAGCCAGGGACCCCCGACAAGCCCTAAATGTTAATGCTGCCTCCAAAGACCTTCTGGACAGTCTATCCGTGTCACGGCACTCGGTTCTTTATATTGGCATGATTTGAGTTTGTTCCGGAAGTCTCTTTGTAAAAAGTGGGAAGGCTGCTTACGCTTGCTTCTGGTGACGTGATATTATTCCATGATAATCCTCCACCCCCACCCCCAAAAGGCATGCACTGAGTCCCCCTCCCCTCCCCGCAACAGGTGCGTACTCTACCTGGCCTGATGGATACCCTCTGCCGCCCTCCCCAGGTATGAACGCACTGCAGCTGCAGAACTTGGCCACGCTGGCTGCGGCGGCTGCGGCGGCACAGGGCACTGGCAGCCCCTCCAGTGCCGGTGGCCTCACTGCCAGTAGTGCTGCGCTTGGGGCACTGGCCAGTCCAGGTAAACTGTGGCTGGGGGCCGCACTTTGTGTCCTTCCAAACACACATCCACACTTGGCTGCTCTGCCTCTCTTTCTCATTCTCTCACTATCTTTCCCTCTTCTTGTCTTTCTCTTACTCCCTTTCTCCATGTCCCCCTCTCTCTCACTCCCTCTCTCCCTGCTTCCATTTTCGTCTCTCTCTCTCTCCCTCCCCCCGTCTGCCCTTCATTTCTGCATTATTCATCCTTTCCGGTCACTCTCACTCATACCTTCATCACTGTCTGATTTTTTTTCTCTCTCCTTCTCTTCTTCCCTATTCCTCTCTTTCTTTCTCTTTCTCCCTCTACCTCTCTCTTCCCTTCATTTCTGCATTATTCATCCTTTCCACTCTCCCTCTCCCTCTCGCCTTCCTCGCTGCTTGATACTCTTCTCTCTTCTGCTTTTTTCCTTTTTCTCTCTCTCCCTCCCTCTGTCTGTCTGCCCTTCATTTCTGGATTTTTCATCCTTTCCGGTCTCTTTCACACACCTTCCTTGCTGCCTGATACACTCTCTCCTTCTCCCTTCTTCTCTATTCCTCTTTCCCTCCCTCCCTCTCTCTGTCTGCCCTTCATTTCTGCATTAATCATCCTTTCCGGTCTCTCTCACACCTTCCTCGCTGTCTGATCCTCCACCCTCCCCCCCCCCCAATCAGATTCTTGCATTTTTAATTGAGTTGTTAGTATTTATTTTGAAGTTCTCGTCTCTTATTATTCAATGTTTTTTTTAAACACTGCACAGCATCAAACAGCTAGCACTCACTGGCATCTCTCAAAAATCCAAGACACTAAATAGATTGCAGAAAAGACCCATATTTAAATGTGAAATCTAGTGGGGGGTCTGGTCTGCTGGCCTGTCCACCCACATACCCGCGAGTGGATACACGCCGTGCCCTGGCATGCTAATGAGCCGTGTGTGTGTGTGTGTGTGTGTGTGTGTGAGCCTGTCTGATGTCCCCATAACGTGATAAATATCCGTTTTTTTTTCCCCTTATGGGGACCGGTTTCCTGGTCCCCATAAGGGTCACCCATTTTATAAAAATCGGTGACTGCTATGAAAACACTAAAAATGCAAAAACTCTTGTATCTTGTTAGGTTACTTATGGTTAGGGTAGGGGTTAACCCCTACACAGCCCTAACCTTATCCATAAATAATCAAACAAAATTCAAAACTTCTGGCATTTTTAGTTTTTTGATTGCATTCACAGATCTTTTTGGGGAGCTGAAAAATAGTCCCCACAATGTCAAAATGACAGGTTTTTATTACATTGTGGGGAACATCATAATATAAAGATAATCCCCCCCCCCCACAAACACACACCACATTTGAATATAAAATACAGTACAAAAGTCAAACGCCTGGACACACATACTGAAAATCATTTGTTTTTTAACAAGATAATGACCCTAAGCTCACCTTAAGGTTATACAGTAAGTATTATCTTGTGAACAAGCAAAGAGATAGATTGCCGTGACAGATGTCTGGCCCCCACAATCCCCCGACCTAAACCCTGCAGAGCCGGTTTGGGACGACTTCAAATGAAGAGTAAGAGCAGGTAGCCAGCATGAGCCCAGGACTTATGGAAACTCCTTCAGGACTGTTGGAGAAGCGTCCAGGTGGCTACATCTGGAAGCTGGCAGAGAATGTCAGGAGTCTGCAATGCTGTCATTGAAGCAAAAGGCGGCTATTTTTAAGAGTCTATAATTTGAGAAAAATTTGAGATGCTGAACACTTCTTGGACGTGGCAATATTTGTTATGCATTCCTTCACTGCCGAGGTCTCTTACTGTAAAGGGTAGAAGAACTAAAGGAGAGACAAAGGAAATAAAAGCAGGGGGTCTGCAGACATCTGACTGGTCTGTGACATTAAGGAGACTAAACCTCTGGTGCTTCACAACTCTACATGGAATATGGATACAGAGCAAACACACACACACACGCACATGTAGGGTATACCTATCCTTATGGGGACCGCTCATTCATCTCAATGGGAAAAATGCTAATGCTAACTATGACAACCTTAAAGTCATGTTCTTGGGATTAGAATTTTCCTCATATAAATGAATGGAGAGTCCCCACAAGGATATAATTACAAGCCTGTGTGTGTGTGTGTATACATTCTTCTGCATATAATGTCAGATTACATTCCCCTGCTGTTTATCCGGCTCAGACTAGTGTGCCCAGAAGGGGGCGCTCTCATTCCTAGTCGGTGCCAATGCTTTAGCAGCCTGGGTCATTTGGGTTACTGATACTCGCATGCAAGTTGGTTTGTGGGGTCAGTCTCTGCTTTCTAACTGCCTCCCCCCACCCCTCCCCATCTGCCCCCCTGCCCCAAAGCAGCAGTGACGACGCCCAGCTCCAACCCAGGAGCTGCCATGAGCTCGCTGACCTCCCTGGGCACCCTGCAGGGGCTCGCTGGTGCTACCGTGGGCCTCAACAACATCAACGCACTAGCAGGTAGCGTCAACAGTGAGTATTCCCCCCTCCCCCCTCCGCCCGCCGCCCCTCCGCCCCACACCCTGCCCATGTCATGTGACTCCAAGAGACACTCGCTGAGCTAAATCTCCACCCGGCTACTCAGTACGGCCGCAGGAAGCAGCCTGTCGCTATCGCCGCCGATCCGAGAGACGATCTCACTCTCCAAAAGGATATTTATTCAAATAACCAAACCTACTAGGAATAGTTGGGGGTTTTCACCAGTGTATGGTGGTTACTGGTGTGTAGTATTTGGTTGTTTAGTCAGATGTGGAAGGTCTCGCGGGCTCTATGGATTAATGAGTGATTGTTCCCAGCAGACCTTCCCTCGCTGTGTTTTTTTGGCCGTTCCTGGCCATTGTGAGGCCACTTTCCCGCAGCCGCTGACAGCCGGTGGCCTGACAAATTTACGTTAACGACCGCGGACTGTCAGGTTTGGCCTCGTTACCGCCTGTCTCCCTGAAATAACGAGGGCCCTGCGTCCATTCTGAGCGGCTCGCCGGCGTATCCTGTGGATTTTGGACGCGTGGGGCGAATTCCGGGTGGAGATGAGGGGGGGGTGTCTTTCGGTCGGTTTATCTCCATCATCCTGCTGTTTTTCTGGCTGCTTGAATGGCCGGTCCTCTGTGTGCATGTGCGTGTGATTTAACTGCACGTAAACACACACCCTCAGCGACCAGTGTGTTAGGTACATCCCGTTAACACATGCGGCAAATCATGTGGTCGTAATTCTATACTCACCTGCACGCAGACAGAGGATCGGTTACTGCGAACGGCTCAGACATGTGATCTGAGCGATTTTAAATGCGGTGTGATTATTGGTGCCAGACACCATGGCTCCAGCGACACGCAAACGGCCGCCATCCTGGGATATTCACACCCTGCGGCGTCTTGCGTTTACAGAAGCAAAATCATCCAACGGGAAGGTCTGAAAACGTGTTGGTGAGAAGGGCCAGAATGGGCAGACTCATTAAAGCTAACAGGAAGAGCACAAGTGCAAATAATAACGGCTCAGTGTGACAGTGGTGTGTGGGAGGGCTTCTCTGAAGAGAGAACTCAGAAATCTATCTGTGGTGTGGTTCTAGGGGCAATAGCGGATCCTACCCAAAACCAGAAAGATGTACCTAATAAAGTGGCCCCTGAGTGTGTCCCTGCGATTGGCATGCATCTAAATGTATCTCTGCCCCATTTATGTTTTTGTGTGTGTATGTGTTTGCGTTTGCATGTGTGCGTGGACCCGGTACGACACTCTGATGAATAAGTTCAATCTTCTTTCTTTATTGTTGGGTTTTATGTAAAGTTGCTCACCTGCTCTCAGGTATGGCGGCCTTGAACGGCGGGCTGGGGGCGGGGCTGGGGGCGGGGCT